GAGGGGCAGAATCCCCTCCCTCGACCCGCTGGCCCCGCTGCTTTGGATGCAGCCCAGGAGACGGTTGGCTTTCTGGGCTGCGAGCGCACGTTGCCGGCTCACGTCCCGTTTGTCACCCACGATGGTTCTTCTGTTGGAGCTGGGCAATGGGACCTACCACTCGCTCAGAAAAGCTTCTCACGTACCTCTGACAGGGTCCTTCTGGCCACCCTGCGTGCATCGACGTTCCGCAGCTCAGGAGCTGGCAGCCATTTCGGCTCGGGGCGGCGGCGAGAGCTCCTTCTGCTGGGCCGGCTGCGAGGGAGTTGGTCCTTTGCCAGCTGTGGACCTATTTTTGGTCCTGGCTGAAGGGGATCCTTTCCGGGCTTAACTGCTGGCATCGGTTTGGCTGGCTGCTGTGCTGCGGACGGGACGCCACAGCGGCGAGGCCTGCTATCCGCCTCTCTTTTCCGAGCTTCCCGTGCTAGCAGCGAGGTAGGCTGCTCAGGGGGAGCTTGTTGGGGTGGCTCTGATGTCCCTGGAAGAGCAGTTCAGCTCAGCCAGCCTCTTCTGTGCCTCCTTGGGTAAACATCTGTATCTCTGTCCATACGTGCGTGCACGCATACATACCTACGTGTGAGTAGACGGGTTTGTGGCAGTCCTGGATGCCTTGCACAGAGCTAAGACCATACGGCGTGGGGAAGGTCGCTCCTGGGGACAGCAGATCCTTTGGCCGTGCTGCTGCCTCGTCCGAGTCCCTGCCGCCGCCGCCACCGCGGCTGGGCTGGGCTGGCCTCACGCCTGGTGCCGTGTGTCTCCCCAGGATCGAGAGCTACTCGTGCAAGATGGCTGGCGATGACAAGCACATGTTCAAGCAGTTCTGCCAGGAAGGCCAGCCGCACGTCCTGGAGGCCCTGTCGCCTCCTCAGACCACGGGGATCAGCCCCAGCAGGTACCACGGCCCGGGGGTATTTCTCTGCCGTGCTCCGCACCAGAGGCAGCAGCGTGGCTGCGGGTGGGGGGTCGGGATTCGTGGAGGGAATGACCCTTCGTCGGTGGCTGGTCTCATTTCTGTGGCCCTGGGCTGGCTGCTCTGCTTGTTCATAGAATGATAGAATCACTGAGGTTGGAAAAGACCCTTAGGGCCACCGAGTCCAACCGTTAACCCAACACTGCCAAGCCCACCACTACACCATGTCCCTCAGCACCACATCCACATGGCTTTTAGATACCTCCAGGGATGGGGACTCCCCCACTGCCCTGGGCAGCCTCTTCCAGTGCTCGACAACCCTTTCGGTGAAGACATTTTTCCCAATATCCCACCTAAACCTCCCCTGGTGCAACTTGAGGCCGTTTCCCCTCGTCCTATCGCCTGTTACTTGGGAGAAGAGACCGACCCCCACCTCGCTACAACCTCCTTTCAGGGAGTTGTAGAGAGCGATGAGGTCTCCCCTCAGCCTCCTTTTCTCCAGGCTAAACAACCCCAGTTCCCTCAGCCGCTCCTCATCAGACTTGTTCTCCAGACCCCTCACCAGCCTCGTTGCCCTTCTCTGGACACGCTCCAGCACCTCAACGTCCTTCTTGCAGTGAGGGGCCCAAAACTGAACACAGTATTCGAGGTGCGGCCTCACCAGGGCCGAGTACAGGGGCACGATCACTTCCCTGCTCCTGCTGGCCACACTATTTCTGATACAGGCCAGGATGCCATTGGCCTTCTTGGCCGCCTGGGCACACTGCCGGCTCATGTTCAGGCCGTGCCGGTGACACCGCTAACCCTGCCGTTCTGCCTCTCAGGCTCAGTAAAAGTCAGAGCGGTGATGAGGAGGGACCCCTGAGCGACAAGTGCAGCCGCAAGACCCTCTTCTACCTGATCGCAACGCTCAACGAGTCCTTCCGCCCAGACTACGACTTCAGCGCTGCCAAGAGCCACGAGTTCAGCCGGGAGCCGAGCCTCAACTGGGTACGTGAGCGAAGTGCCCTGAGGCAGGGCAGGTCCTGCACCCCTGCTCGGGAGGCCCGCCGTGCTGCTTGCTTCTGTCCTGGAAGAGAAGGCAGCGTGGATCTGGTGGGGGAGTGTCTGGTTCTCCGGGGAGCCCCACGGCGCTGCTGTGATCCCAGGGCATGCCTCGCTCCCTCCTCCGGCAGCGTCCGCCCTAGGATGAGGCAGTCCTCATCCTTCCCAGGAAGAGGTTTGTGGGGTGTCTTTTCCAACAGCCGTCCTGGGGTGTTTTCCTTCAGCAGCAGCAGCCTTGCTCTTCGCTCTTCTTTGGGAACGGCCTCTCGTGAGCGGGGTTTTCCATGCCAGCCTTGGTTAGGCTGCTCTTTCCCGGGGCGGGTATTTGGAGGAAGGAAGGGTGAGGGAAGCGTCGGTGGCTTGAGTCCTTCCTGCAGAGGACTTCCCGGTCTGCTGCCCGGTGCTTTCATCCCTGCGCCCGTAGTGCTGGTGGCCGGACGCTGCTTTACCTCGCACCGGACAGAGGGGTGGCTCTGCAGGGGCCTCCCGGGTTCCGCTCTGAGCGCGCTGTCCCTCCCGGCAGGTGCCGGAGCCTCTGTCTGTCTGTCTGTCTCCTGGCTGTCGGGGTCCGGCAAGGCTGCCCTTGTCAAGGAGGCAGATGGAGCAGGAAGCGTCCTCTCTGACCGGGAAAGTTTGCCCTGTTTCCTTCCTTCGAGGAAGCCACCGCGCTCTTTGCTGGGAGAGACTTGGGCTGCCTGTGCCCCGGAGATCCTCTGATGGGTTTTCCCTCTCCAGCCGTGTTGCTTCCCTGCTGCCTGTCTCCTTGCTTCCACCTCGGGGCCCTGAACTAGCACAGCAGTGCCTGGCCGTCTTGCTTCTCCACCTTTTTGGTGGTCATTGTCAGGCTCCGGCGTCTCCTCTCGGTGGAGGAGGGACGGGGAGGATGAGCCGCGTGGAGCGTGGGAGGGAGGTGGCGGGCAGGAGGGCGGGCGGCGGCTCCTCTGCTCCTCTCACGGGCCCTGCTCGGTCTCTCTAGGTGGTGAACGCTGTCAACTGCAGCCTCTTCTCTGCCGTTCGGGAAGATTTCAACGCCCTGAAGCCACACCTGTGGGATGCTGTCGATGAGGAGATCTGTCTTTCAGAGTGTGACATCTACAGGTAACGGGGCAAGCGCTCGCCCCCGGGCCTGGATCCTGGCCCCGTTCGTGCGTGCCGTGGCCTGTAGAGAAACGGAGTTATTTTTCAGTAAAAAGTTACGTTTTGGCACGCTCACCTGTGTGTGTGTGCGAGGACTTCCCGCTGGAGTGGGGCAGGCTGTCTCCTCACTGGAGTTCTCTGGCTCCCAGCTCCCTGCCCGGGGAAGGGGAACCGCCGCTGCTGCCGTCCCCTCCCACGCAGAACTTCCACGCCCTGGAAATCTGCGCCCCAGGCAGCGGCTGCGCTGGGTCTCGCCCTCCTTCCAAA